GCCTATTCTGTATGACAGGTAAAATAATTAGTGATTGTTTTTACGACAGTAACAGATTTCATACATTTTTTTTGGAAAACAAAGAATAGAATGATGAAGATTGGTTAGAAATTTAGCACTTAAATTTATGATCATTGTTTGCTTTTTTTTAAAGAAAGATAGAAATTTCAAATATAAAATCATTTTCGATCTTAGTTTAATTTTAATAGACATAATAATTTGGATATTTAAAGTTTATAATCTAGCTTACAGGACGTGTGAAGAAATGGAAATTCCAGATGAATATTGTATTTGTGAACGAGTCTGGCATAAGTCTGATATATACGGTGATGATGCGACAAAAGCTGCACAATTTCTAATCGCTGATATTAATGATTTCTTGAAACAGAAAAATCTGAATAAAATTTGCGAAACACTCGAATTCATAGAAGTGATAATTTTAATTTGAACAAATATTTAAAAGAACAAATCGTCAAATGAAAAAGTTTACGAATAATTATAAGAGCTGTTAAACAAACCACAGTAGGAGAGTTTTTCTATAACAAATATATTTGATTAATTTGATTAAAATTTTGTAAAGCGAGCTTATCAAAAATATTTATTTCTAATTTCTAATATGATAACATTTCGTTTGATAAAATCGCATTAACACATAATCATTGGTGATAAGACTAAAGTGTTGTCACTAAGAAAAAAAATCATGATAGAATTCAGAAATGTAAAATTTTGAATAACTTTTGAAATAAAATACTACTTTTTGTTTCATCTTGTCGTTTCACTTTCATTGAACCTTTTTCAGGTAGTTTCGGCAGAACACCTTGAGGGGAGATCGGTGTTGAAAATAGCTGTAAATGCTGCACCGAGCAATGGAAAATATGAAGTGCAGCTGTTGAAGCAAAATGATAACTTTAAAAAAATTACAAAAGTAACATATTTTCTTGTCATTATTGTACTTTGTTTTATTATTTTATTTATTTTCGTTCGTTCAACAATATCATTTTTGTTCTTTTTTCTATTTTTCAATTTCACTCTTTTTTGTATTTTATACTTTGTTTTTATAGTTAATTTTCATATTCATCATCATAATTTCTCACTATTTATTCAGTAGCATTTAATAATATTTATTGCATTTATTTATTAGATTGTAAGTAGAAATAATATGCAAATGCTATGTTTATAGCAAAAGCTTTTTTTTGTGATAAATGCGCGAAGTTTTTTCAAATTTGTAATTTCACACATTTAGATAACTCGATTGGATCAGTACGGTAAACAAGGACACTGTGCTCCCAGTGAAGATGTACGACCTTTGTGTTACTGCCGACAACAGCTTACAACACCTGCGACTCATTAATAATAATATATGCAATATCGTGCAATCTTAATTGTTGATAGGAAATGCTGGAATTATTACTATCTCTCAGTTAACTCATATTAAGTGAATTTCGCTCACTTCCCATAATAATTTGTTTATGTGTTGATTATCATGGCATTGTTTTGATGTGTGAAAAACGAAATAAAAAAAAGGAACATCGAACGTGCAATAAAATGTAATACGTTTGTAATATTTTTAAAAATTCTTTTGAAATTGATTCAAATGCTGAGAAAAATTAGTGACCTGTTTGAAGCATCAATCTCTCCTATTTGTTCGTTAATATGTTTAGAATCGTTACGTTGCCAGTTGTGAAGAAAGCATTTTTAGGAGGAACAATTTATCAGCAAGAAAATTAATTTAAATTCAGAGTGGTCAAAAATTAACTAACCGTAAAGAATATTAAAAGTTTAATAAGCAGTTGATGTCTGAATTCATTATCACATTGTATGTTCAGTTATTTGCTACAGAAGAGAACGGTTGATGTTTTAATCAAGTATAATCGGTTACACTACCTTCTCTCGACCTCATAACACCGTCACTGTCACTAACGATGACGATTAACAGATTTCCAGGGGAAAAAAACTGCCACATTCAGACAGTTAAATAATGTTAAGTTTTATTTTAACGTGCAATAATTGGCCTCTCTGTCTCTTTCTTTATGTACTTCTCTTACAGTAGCTGATCCTTTTTTCCGTAAATGTTTCCATTCCAAGAAAATTGCACGTATGATCATAATTGGGCGCTTATTTATTGGATCATTGAAGAACGAAAATAGTGTAGGAAAATATGACAAATTGGTAAAGACGTGACAAAATGACGATGATGTGACAAATTGCTGAAGACATAACAAATTGATATCAGTTGTGCATCATTTGCTCTTATCGTTTGTTATGCGAATTTTAGTGTGAATTATTCATGCACATTCTTATAACAGTTGATTTGTTGTTGACGTTAATCGTACATCGATTAGACATGAAATCGACAGATTGAGTAGATTTGTTGTGCTTGTCTAAAGAAATAGAAAACTTATTTACTTAATTTCCCCTTCTTTTTAACCAGTTATTTATAGCGAAGTGAAATAATCAAAATGATAGCATTTATCAACGATTTCTACTCACTATAATGTTCATGTTTCTCATTATTACACAATTTCATGTATTTTAGATCGAAGCATTACTTTCTCTTTCCCGCTCTTTTCATTTTTTAGTCTTTTTGAATTTTCAATTTTGAATTAATTGATGCTATGTTGGATCAATAAAGTTGAACAAATAACTTCGAACATATCATTCAAGCATGATAAAGTCCTAAGAATTTCTTAGTAAAACGAGAGAAATTCATTGTCAAGAATAAAATCCATTTTGAATTTCGAATGACATCGATGCCAATTGCTTTGTGTATTTCCAACCCTACCAATCTTCTTTTAATGCTGATTTCATTCTCCGCAAGCATTAGCCTTTAAAATGTTGAAAATAAAATAATGAAATTTCTCGAATCAAATATTCCAATTTTTTGATATATTTTTGTTTCTGAGTAATGAATGTTTGTCTTTGCTTCGTTAATTATTGAATTCCTTTTTATTAATTGTCTTCTTTATGGAACAATAAACCGATGAATAAATTAATATTTTGGGAAAAATGAGAAATAACAAATAACTAAGGCAGTTTCTCTTTTTTACTGATAAAAGATGTATTATGGCATTGAAAATGTTCAAAATGTTCTTAATTTTCTTTTTTGATTCCATCCGATTTTCAAAATGTTTTCAGTTGATGGCATTATCAAATTGGATTTACATCAGTAGAATGGTGAGTACGGTTATGATAATGCTATTTTAAAGGGAACATTAGCATTGCA